TGTGATTTGTTAATTCTCTTTAACTTTTATTTAATTTGGAAAAGATTTAAAAAAAAAAAAACTTAAATATATTTTGTAAATATAAACAAATTGTGTTAGTTTATTAAAGTAATGTAACTGATTACATATGATTACTTTTTGATTACTTTTCTAAATGTCTATTGTTTTCTAAAGGTTAGTCATTTTCAAATATTTAAACCAGGCAGGGTTAACCTTACAGTAGTGCTCAACACCACAACCCCAATTTCAGGAAAAATTGGGATGCTTTGTAAAATGCAATAAAATCAAGAATCTGTGATTTGTTAATTCTCTTTAACTTTTATTTAATTTGGAAAAGATTTAAAAAAAAAAAAACTTAAATATATTTTGTAAATATAAACAAATTGTGATTTTGATGGCTGCGACACACTCCAAAAAAAAGTTGGGACAGAGGCAAAATAAAAGTGAAAAGGTTATAGAATATCCAAGTTAAACTGTATTGAAACAGTTCACAGTAAGCAGGTGAATTGGTAATAGGTGAGGGTGTCATGTGTGGGTATAAAAGGAGCATCTCAGTCTTTGAAAGCAAAGCTGGATCATGGCTCATCACTTAGTGCCAAATTTCACGTGAGAAGTGTCAAACAAATCAAAAATCAAATTTCTCAATGCAAAATCACAAAGAATTTAGGTTTTTCACCAACTACCATACATAATATTGTGAAAAGATTTAGGGAATCCAGGGAAATATGTGTCTGTGTATGACAAGACAGGAAACCTCAGTTGAATGTGAGTGAGCCGTCATGCTGCGGTGTTAAATATAACCACATGGGCTCAGAAGTACTTCGGACAATCGCTGTCACTGAACACAGTCTGCCGCTGCATCAATAAATGCAACTTGAATCTCTGTTACTCTGTCTAGGATAAACCTGTACATCAACTCTATGCAGTGATGCCGCGGGGTTCTCTGGGCCTGAGCTCATCTCAGATAGTCAAAAAAACAGTGGGAATGTGTGCTGTGGTCAGATGAGTCCACATTTCAACTTGTTTCTGAGAAAAATGGACGTCGAGTTCTCAGTCCCAAAGACCAAAGGGACCATCCAGACTTTCACCAGCGACAGATGCAAAAGCAAACGTCTGTCATGGTATATGAGCGCAGCAGAGCAAATGGCATGGGTGACTGGCATATATGCAAAGGTATCATTGACATGGAGGCATATATTGCAATTGTACAGAGACATATACTGCCATCAAGATGCTGTCTTTCATGGGAAGTCCATGGTTATTAGATCAAGACAATGGCAGGTCTCATTCTGCATGTGCTACAACAGTGTGGTTTTGTGGACACTGTTGTGTGAATGTGCTAGACTGGCCTGTCTGCAGTCCAGATCTGTCTCCTATTGAAAGTGTATGACCAGTCATGAAAAGGAGAATCAGACAACGATGATCACAGACTGCTGAGCATCTGAAGTCTTGTATCAAGCGAGATTAGAGGAAAATTTTGCTTGCTAAACTTTAACAATTAGTATCCTCAATTCCCAAACAATTAAACAGGAAAGTTGATGTGGCAGTGGTAAAAATGTCTCTGTCCTAACTTTTTTGGAGTGTGTTGCAGCCCTCAAAATCAAAATTTGTTTATATTTACAAAATAAAATTAAGTTGGCCAGTGAAAACATTGGACATTTTTTCTTTGTACTAGTCAATTAAATACATGTTAAAGAGAATGAACAAATAACATATTCTTGATTTTATGGCATTTCACAAAACGTCCTAACTATTCTGGAATTGGGTTTGTAATTACTGTCAGACTTTCAAAATCCTTCATCACTTGAATTAAGATTATAATAATTTAATTTTAAAGCACAACCACCACAAAATCAGACTTACTTTGAGAGCATTATGTTTCTGTGTCAGTTTATTTTACTTATAAAGCACACATTAATACAACTACTGTTGCCCAAGGTGCTGTACAAAAAAAAAAAAAAGTAAAAATAAATAAAAGCATTAACATACAGAGGCAAATTCAAAGTAAACACAACAATTCAATAACATCCCTCAATACAGTAATTGAAAGCCAAGCAAGTTTTAACAAGTTTTAAATGCATGCAGGGGTAAGAGATTCCACAGTCTAGGCGCAACTACCGAAAAAGCCCGGTCACCCCTAAGTTTTAATCTAGAACAGTTAGAAGCAGCTGATCAGAGAACCAAAGAGATCTAGTAGGTGTGTGCCGTTCAAGAAGGTCTGCGAGGTAAGGAGGTGCCAAACCATTTAATGAAGAACCATTTAATTCTGATGTTAAATACAGATTTAAAACCATAACAAGAAATAGTTTAATATCGATGATACTATTTTTGAAATCAAATATTTGCATAGCTATGACAGGAAATACTGGAACCTAACAATGCATTGAAAAAATAAAGCATATACATAAACCCAATTAGGAAATAAAAAAGTTATCGAATAAGCATGTGGCCTATTCTCTGTACTAAACTCCTGAAACATTGGTGTTTCATATGTTAGAGCAGTCACTGCAATTTATGAAAGAAATTAATTAAATCTGTATGTGGGTGTGTGTGTGTGAAAAAAATTCCGATGTAACCCCCTTTGTAATCGTTAACATTTTCATAAGTAACTGTAATTTAATTACACATTTTTTTCTCAGTAACTGTAACTGATTACAATTACATGTATTTTGTAATTAAATTATTAATTCCGTTACATGTAACTACTGTAGTTACTCTCCAACACTGATCACAAACACACAAAAGCACAGTTTATATAAGTAGCTGGATTCTTAGGCAGCATCCTAATTAATATGGCACCCTTCATAGTACACTTCTCATGTGAAGCACACAAGAGACACGACACAAAACTGAGTCTAATTCAATTTGACCTGCTAATCTAACCTTACAATACTCTAAGCATAAAAATACATCACAGACATACATAAATATCTGATTATAGTCCATTTTGTAATAGACTGTACTATTCTTTAGCAATACCCTTCTGTCATTTTCCTGCATCATGGCTTTTATTTAGTTTGGAGTTGGGCGTGGCTTATTCAAACCAATCTGAAAAGTGCATGGGGCGGAGCAAATATTATAAATGAGTAAGCACTTACAATCCTACAGTAAACTGCATAATTCTCTCCTGGCTAAGTTTCACTCAAAATAGTGTGAATTCTCCAGGTGTAAACCACATTTTAAGATGTTTTTTTAATGGATTTCAACAATATTTTGTAACACTCTCTGTATCTGAAAACACAAAAGTGAGGAAAATACTATCTTACTGTGATTTTTTTCAAGATTCTCAGTTAGCTTTCATTTTTATCCTTCTTATGTTGTTTACTTCTGATGTAATAACAATAATAATAATAATGTATATTATTTATATTTTTATTATGTAAAGTAATAAATACTACCATTTATAATATTATTATTATTACTTTGTTTTTATTTATTTATTTCTATAATTTTTATATTTTGTTGAGGGGGTAAATATTATTTCTGGCGTATCAGTGTTTTTTTTTTTTTTTTTTTGGGACTGTCAAGCTCTAAAAAGGACAACAACAATTGTTCTGTCTCAGTCTCACACAAAGCTATAGTATGACTTCAGAAGACTTTGAATATAGCAAATAAAGTCGCATGAACTACTGTTATGGTACTTTTTTGAATGTAAAAACTGTATGGTCACTGTTTGGTTTCAGTGTATGAAGAAAAAATCAGAATAAACATTCTTCAATTTCTTCTTTTGTGTTGCAAGGAAGATAGCCGACAGCTTCAGAAGGACATAAAGGTGAGCAAATGATGACAGAATCTTCATATTTATGTGAACCCTGAAAATGCTTTTGGAAAACACTGTAGCTCCAGTCGTGTTGAAGTCAAGTCTCATCTGGAGATTGACGTGGAGATTAATGAAGATCTGATTCTGCCTGCAGTATCATTACCACTGGAGCGGATCGGATGATGGCACAGACAGCTTGTCTGGAATATTTTGGCAGGTTATTATTGGTTTCACCTCAGGCTGCAGGCAGTGTCTTGAGACCATAACCGACACTACAAATACTTTTCTCATGACTCTGTTTCTTTCAACTTTGCACACACTTCCAGGCAATTATCAGCTAAATATCAATATAATAAATAAGCAGCAAGCTATCAGACATCAATATTTAAAGTCTTATTGTAGTGATTCAGGCCTGTTTTTCGCACCAACTCAACGGTTCTGGAGGAGAAGCGTTAAGCGCGTGCGCATCACTGGAAAGCGTCGATCAGGAAACTATTCTAACTTCTGTCATAATATCTTCAAAATCAGATCTCTTATCTTAACAAAATTATCAGATAATAGCTACTACTATCAAATAATAAAACTTAAATTAAAAATAAAACGCGCGCCACACCCGCTTATTGCTCCAACACGAGGCACTACAAAAACCTAGGTGCTCAGTTTTGAATTAGCTAATGAATGACCAAAAACTTCAAGACGCACCTCAAAATTCCATTTTTAAAAAATGTAATAACATTGAATATATACATTATAAATTAATAAAATATACAAGAACGATAACTGAAAGAAAAAAAAATATTTTTATGAACAACAATTTATTATTATTATAGCCTATGACAACTTATTGAATTAAAAACGAAATGCTTACTAGAAAGACAAGAGCAAATTACACAATAAATAAAAAACAACTTTTGAACTGCATTTGTTTTATACATTTTTGTAGCCTATAGCCTATGCAAATCTAAAGTGAAAATATGCTGTTCTTTCAAATAAAGACACATTTTACCTCATTCGATCCTTAAAAATGACTTTCGATAGTTGATTCGGTCATACATAGCCTACTAAATTATAGTTATGACTTGAATAAAACGGTAACTGATTGATAGGTTATGTTCCCAAATGAACACGGTTGTAGGTTACCTGGCCAATTTTTTTATGACCTCATTATAAGATCTATCCATTTCTTGATTCCTGTACTGAAAGATGTTGTAAAGTCCAGAGGACTGAAGGTTGGACTCACGTGTCAAGTGGAGCGCAGCTGTGCGGGGTCTCGATCAACTCCTCCGGGCTGCGCGTCTCATGATCGGGTCTGTGTGGCGAGGGCCGCCGCTGTCCGCGGTTCTGGAGACCGTCGCGCACCGGAGACGCGGCGCAGCATCGCCCGAGACGCGCCGGCGAGCGCCCGATCAAATCCACCGGATCGCGGGGAAACGCGTCTCTGGATCGCGTGTCGGTGCGTGGAAGTGGCGCAGATGCCCGCCGCTTTAGGGGTCTCGGCGGCTGAGGGAGACGAGTCTGACCGGCAGGAGCGGGAGCGGGAGAGGGGGAGGGCGGGAAGGGGGAGGAAGAGGAGACACGGAGCCCCTCGCCTTCGTCAGACATCGGGAGAATCCGTGCTCCGCATCTGGTAAAAGGGAAAGGGCTTCTTGAAACTGAGACGCGCAACTTCAGCAACAAGTGGGAGCAGAGTTTTAACCTCAAAACACACCCAGTAACACACACACACACACAAACGCCTCAAATGAGAGAGGTGTGGCTTGAAACACTACATAGATGTGCCTGATGAACATCTACTCATCTAAATGGCTTTCTTTCTTCTGTGATACACAAATGGAGATGCAACGAAGAATGTGCGAGCTGTTCTTTTCTATACAATTAAACCGAAAAAAATATTTTCCTTGAAAGTCTTACTTTACAGTCACCAGTCACTTTTATAGCATGCAAAAGAGAGGTATTCACAATCTGAACATCTCCAAAAGTGTTTTGTCTTAGCTTCATCGAAATTAACTGGTTTTATTACGTTAAAAGAATGTTCAAATTCACTAAAAAATGAAAATTTGCTGAAAACTCACCTTCAAGACATCCAGGATGTAGATGAGTTTGTTTGTTCATGGGAACAGATTTGGAGAAATGTAGCATTACATCATTTGCTCACCAATGGATCCTCTGCAGTGAATGGGTGCCGTCAGAACAAGAGTTCAAACCGCTGATAAAAACATCACAATTAGTAATTCACATCTTGCTTGGTGAAAAGATGCGTGTTTGTGAGAAACAAATCCATCATTAAGATGTTTTTACTTCAAACCGTTGCTTCTGGCCAAAATACGAAAGGTCAGTGGTGTAGACTATTTTCGCTTGTAAATGGTGCTTGATCTATTTCTCTCCTTTTCACTGGAAGAAGCATTATTATGGATTGTGGACTTGTATTTTAGCTAGAAGCAACAGTTTGAAGTTAAAAATGCTTTGATGGATTTATTTGAGTAGTGAAAACAGACAGCAAATATATGCATCAAATACACTCCTATTTTGTATTCTCAACCACAAAACCCACCAAGTTCGAACACTTACTCATGTAACATAAATAAAAACCAAATGGTTAACATCTGCAATCGAGTTCAAGGACTTTAATCAGGGAGAGTGACCAGAATGTGCATGTGGAAACATAGGTGCTTTGGTTCAGAGATGATTTGCTTCATGGTCAAACAAAGTTCAGTGAGCGCTGAATATATAAATCAACAATGCCAGGATTATTGACCCGGAAATATCAAGGTTTGCAGAAATGCAGATCAGAACTGTGCAGTTTGGTTTAAAATACAACACCACAAAATTATATTACTCTGTATTTTTGACTTGCTTTACAGTACAAATACCTAAATATTCTTAAATGAAGACACATTTACTTGAGAAGCAAAA